TATGGAATGTGAGTTTGAGCAAACTTCAATTTTTCTTTGGAGACTTTATGTCCCTTTAAGGCCAAAAGTTTTAAATGTGGATGCGGTCTGCCTCTGAAGAGATCTGAGAGGGGAGCAGAGAAACAAATCATCTAGGTATTGCAACAAAGTAGAGTCTACAGAAAGCTTTATCTTATCCAAATCAGATCTTAAGGTTTGTGAAAACTAAGGACTCTCTGAAACCCTAGAGCATTACCGTCCATTTGTATTTCCTTTCTTCTGAAGTGACAGCAAAAAATATTGGCTATCTTTATCAACTGGAATACTCAAGTGTACCATATAGATCACCTACAGTGAAAAATTTGTTTTCAGTGGGAATGGATGTCAGCAGCTTATGGGGGTTAGGAACAGGAAGGGATAACAATGTTATTTATATATTTAACAATGTTATTTATTGCTCTGAGGTCCTAGACAACCTCCACCCTCAGCTATTGGGTTTTTTCATAGGTGAAATAGGGGTACTACAGGGACTAGTGCAAGGGATGTGGCCCTGAGCCTTGTAATCTTCTATTATGGGCTTGATACCTTGCAGGGTTTATTTATAGGGTACTGATTAATTTGGGGGAGAGATTTTGAGGGATCTACTTGAATCTTGATGGCGAGTGCACTGTGGATTCTGCCAATGTCAGCTGAAATTCTGCCAATAGTGTTATGTGTTGGGACCTTTTACCTCTTTTAGGCCTGTGACTGCCGCAGACTGGAGGTTTCCATCCTCCCTCGTTACTTCCGCGTTCGTGGCCTAACTAGCTTCCCGCGCGCGCGCTCTTGGCCCTAACTCCGCCTCCCCACCTAACCCGAAACCTGCCTAAAGACCCTAGTGACAGATGAGATGACCAATTCCCATTGGTTTCTGTTACTTCTTTATCTTCCCCTATATAACTAAGCCTCTGATGGAATAAAGCTGAGTTTTGCTGCGCCCTTGAGGCTGACACGTCTCCTGGCTTGGTGTTGTTTTGTTTTTCCCCGGATCTCAGAGGAGGGTGTCCAAGCCGCGGACACTTGCCCTCTCGCTCAGCCCCGGGGATAACAGGCTGGTCCTGCTTGTCCCCCCGCCTTCTTGTTGCTGAAGAGCAACAACATGTGATCCAATAGGAACAAATGATCAGCGTCCCTAGACTCAGCTATAGTGCTGTCAGAGACACAGCCGATAAAAGATGTTGAAGTGTCACTTAATCACCCTGGTTGGCTGTTTTGATTACTACTGTCAAACTTTAGAATTATGTCCCCCATTTGGGAGAAATTCTTGCATGTTATCAAAAAAAAATTTTTTTTGAAATCTTGGCCCAATAAATATGGGTGGAAGAACTATGAAGAGAAGGGTGTGCATCACTCAAACGGCCTAAACAAAAAGAAACAGGTTCAGAGATAGGAAGCTGTTGAGGTTTATGACAAGAGTCCCACTATCTGTACTCCGAGGCAGGGACTGCTTTGTAGCAGTGTGGCTGAGCATGGAAATGTAGCTCCAGTGTCAGCAAGGACAGAGAGTGATGAATTCCCAATCTGGAGAGTTGTTTCTGACTCATTTAAGAGGGAGGATTGAAAAGAGCACTTGTAGTTCCTTGGAGCTCTTGTCACTGGGAAATAGGAGGACAATGGAAAGGCTGGCTAGAGGGCTGAAGATACCTGACATGCTTAAATACGTTACGATGCTTTTTCCAGTGTCTGGGCTCTTCCCCAAACTAGCAAAAACTAGGAGGTTTTTGGTCTTGTTTAGGGGCCTTCATTTCCCCATTTGCCACTCATCTAGGATGCAAGCAAGCTGGATTGCCAAATTGACTGAATTTAGAGTGGATGTAGTTTCCCATTCCATCCTGGTCCTTTTAGCTAAGAGTAAGAGCTCAGTACAGCTCATTAATAAACATAGTTAAGTGTTAAGTGTTACCTGGATGGATTCAACATTTAAAGGAAGACCAGAAATTTCTTTGAAAATAATCCAAAGTTTATTCTAATAGTTATGAACATATTCATCAGGTTTTTGTGTGCAAGCCTGAATTTTATTCTAATCAACAAGCTTTGGAAAAGCCACTGTAATTGTTTGTGGAGATTTCTAGTGAGTGTTAGCATTTTGCCAGAAGATGGGTGTCTGTTTCTCTACATCCCTTTCAGCATGTTCCCACTGGACTAGTTTCATCCAATTCTTGGCCTGGTCCTCACCAACAAACATGTGGACTAATTGATACAAATCTGAGAAACCAATCTGGTTAAGTTTGAATATCTATGTTAAATTCTTCAGCAAACCTATGGGGTTCCTCAGTCACTTTAGGAAACTTTAACTATGGTTCACAATTTGGCCTTAGTCAAAGTACAGGGAACATAAGAAACTCAGCATTTATTTGGATTCTCAGAAGACTTAGGTTTAGTGAGACAGGTTTTAATAGGTCCAGGAGAGGGGGGAGAGGGGATAGATTCATACAAAAAGGGAAGTTTGGCAAAAGGATTAGAATGAGGGAGTGTAGGGTGTGGGAGAGGAGATGGGGGACAGTCCAGAGGGAACAGAGGAAATTGGTGCCAGAGGCAGGCCTAAGAAGAAGGTGGCTGCCAGGTGTCTAGTGACAAAGATGATGGAGGGAAAAAGAGGCCTCAGAAGCCATTTTGGCTTCTTTCAATTGTTTGTCTCAGTTACTTTAGAAATAGTATTTTGCAAAGAGGGAAATTTAGAATCCTAAAAACATTAGGAAACCTCAATGTTTATTCAAATAGGCATCCCATCCAGCTTTTGTTGTTGTTTTTGAGCTGAAACTTTCTAATTTAATTTTGAGAAAAACAAGTTTGGGGAGATTGAAAGTTCCCCATAATGGCCTTCGGTGTTCTAAATTACTTTGGTTAAGTTGGTCTATTTAGTTAGATAGGCACATAAGGAAGAACCACAGTTTTTAAACGTAAAACCAGAAGGGGTCCCAGAATGGGGGGTTGCCCACAAAGCATTTTGGTGACTGAGATCCCATTTCTTAGAAGTTTTTCTCTAGAGCAAAAAGAAAAATTTGTAAACAGCACAGTTTTAACAGTAACAGTCTAATTCCGAAAGGAATTGGAACAAAGGCCAGCACAGTTGCAACAGGCACAGTCAAACAGGAGTCAGGCCAAAGGCTAACACAGTTCCAACAGGCACAATGTGATCCCTGGAAGATGGGGACCAAAGGCCAGCACAGTTCCTGTAGGAACAGTCCAGTTCCAAAAAGGAATTGGACTGTAGGCCAAACAAGCACTCTCCGAAAGGATAAGGCCTTAAAATGAATTCCCCATTAAAGCCTGGAGAGATAAAAAATGCAAATATGTTGGAGCTCGAAATCCAGGAAAAATCTTTCTGACAAACTCCAGAGTGAGCAAGAAAGCAGTGAGTTCAATGAGCTCTGTGAGTACTGGCCCCCGTTCGCTCACCAACCAGAGTTGTTCAGGGTCGTCTCTGGCTCTCACTCTGATCACCAACTAATGTTAACCTTAAAAATAAAAGTTATTTTACGAGTAAAAATGGATTGATTCAGGAAAAGCAGAAAACTGCAATTCAAGACAAACTATGGCAAAACCATACGCAAGTCCAACAGCCAAAGAAGAGGAACATTATGGAGAAGAAATAAGAAATTGGGAGGGGTTGCTTTGAATAGAAGTCCATTGCAGAAGAGCAAAAGTTCAGGGTGATAGGGGTTTCTCACTGACTGAGTTGGGCTGTGAATTTCCCAAAGGAGGTGCAGTGTACGTCTTTCCCTTTTGGGGCCTATACTTGATTCCTTTCTGTTGATGATTCTTTTACTGGGGTGTGTAATTGACAATTCTCCCTGTGACTGACGTGGAGTGGTAAGGCTCTCCCTTCTCGTTTCTTGAGTTCATGAGGTTTCTTTTCATTAACTTTCACAATTTCAGGGATAAAGATGAATTAGAAATAGATTTGACAAAAGAGCAAACATTGTTGAGAGAAATTATGTAACACCTAAATAATGTTGAGGTTTACTTTGTTAAAAGGATGATATGACTCCATATTATGAAGATATAAATTCTTTCCATATGACATATAGATTCCATGTTAGAGCCTATGGAGCTGCAATGAAAATTCCAGCTTTTAAAAATGACACACTTGTTTTGAAATTCATACGGAAACACACAAGCCCAAACAACTTTGAAAGAACAAATTTGGGGGCCAACCACAATCTGATTTCGAGAGTCATTTATAAAGCTACAGTAATGAAGACAATGTGGGATATATATTTTGCAAAATAGACAAATACATATGGCAACAAAATAGAAAGTATTAGACCCAAACATTTAAGGTCCACTGATGTTTGACATAAGCGCAAAGGCTATTCAGGGGAAAAAGGATAGCTCTTTCAACAAATGGTGCTAGATATATGTATGTAAAAAAAGTTACCTAAGATCCATTTCTCACGACATACTGTGCTACCTCAAAATGGATCACAGACCTTAACATAAAACCATTCTAAAACCTCCAGAAGAAAACAGAGGAGAAAATCTTTGCGGCCTTGGGTTTGGCAAAACTCTTAGACCAAAAGCACCATCTGGACAAATCCCTGAGCCAGCGCACGGCCTCTTTGACCCCGTGCACCTGGGCCTGCGGCACCCTCCGGGCCGGCCTAGCCTCCTCCAGCCCCGCCCCGCAGCCCGGCCCACCTTGCCCCGCCTCCGCGCGCGCGCCCGCCTCTCCACCCGGAAGAGCCCTCTGAGCCGCGGAGCTGGGGTGGCGCGCGGCCGGCGTTCTTCGGGAGCGCGGGCCGCCGGAGCAAACGCCGGGCGCCTAATTCAACCAGGCGCGAGGCGGGCCCTTCGGAGCTGCGCGCCCCCGCGGCCGGCGGCGCTGCGAGCAGCCCGTGCACGCACCCCGCCTCGCCGGCCTCCTCGCGCGCCCGAGGCCGTGGCTCTACCCCACCGCCAGGCCTGGGTCTCCGCGCCTCCCGGCCTCGGGAGCAGCGCGGCCCCGGCGACTTCTGACACTGCGTATCCACGAGTAAGTGCCAGCCGCTGCCTTGTTCCACCGTTACTTATATTTTTCTCCTGCAGTTTGTCCCAACTCTCGCTCGCATCTGGTTAGTTCCAAAAAACTATTCAACTCTGGAACTGGCCCCACGACGAAGCTACCGGGAACCGGGCCGGGAAGTGTCAGGATAGGTGGTGCTAGGCAGGGGCTGCAGACAGAGTCGAAAGTGTGGGAAGCAGCCCCCCAGGCACCACCCGCCCCCACGCTTGCCGACCGCCCACTGGGAGCCGGGTGGGTGGGAAGGAGGCGCCAAGAAGCCGCGGACGAACGGCGTGCGGACGGGTCTTACGACTCGGTGCGCCCTGCCCGGGCCAGGGGCGTGGCTCGTGGTGGGCGTGGCTCGGCGGCGGGGCGGGGCGGGGCCGGGCCGCGGGCCCAGGGATCCAGCGGGAGATCGCGGCTTGCTCAGCCTCCTGGTTCTGCCTGCTGATGCTTCGCTTTTGTCAACCGGGCAAAGTAGCACAACAGGATTTCATATCGACTCCAAATAGTAAGTTTTAAAACAATGGGAGTGGGCATGTTTATAGGGTTAGCTAACTGCTTGGCAACGATGATTTTTGGTCGGGTATTGCAAGTGAATGCTCTTTAAGAAATGCTTTTTGAGAAAGATGGTGTTTCATAAATAAAAGACTGGCGAAATTTAATCTGACGTTAATTTGAACCATGAATTCTGCAGCTGCCCCTTTCTGCCTTATGCGGAGCTTTTAAATTGCTAAACGTGTGGCTTCAAATTTAATATGCATTTATAGAATCTTAGAGACTCCATTATACCACCTGGGAGTTCAGTTTTTGTTTTGTTTTTGTTTTAACCAAGGCCACATCGTGGAAATACTGTACGATTAATTCCTTCCCAGGTGCTTTCTGCTGTACACTTACTTGGCTCAATTTAAATTACCTAACCAAAAAAATTACTTATCAATGTATGGCCCTAATTTACTTTAATTGTCTTGGATATACTGCTGTCTCTTAACCTCACACTATCATCCTGCAGTTGTCAGAATTCTTGGCCCAACTGTGGTATACCCTGCTTACTCCTTCCAAAATAGTAGGTTTCCAGAGATAGCAAAATATTTTTAATAATTAGCATGTTAACAATTTAAGATGCTAAACTGTGAACTTTATAACATTCTGGTTTAATCATCTATTTGTGGAGCCCCATGCAAGAAATGTTGGTTGAATGAAATAAGTCAAATTAAAGTACATTTGTTCTCCAGTGCTGTTTCCAAACCAAATGAGTTTCTTACATGATCAACTTGGACAATTTATTTGTAACTGCCCATTTGCACCTCTGGGATTATTACCCCATTTAAATGTAGTTCCCCTTTGTGCTTCTATTTGTATTGCATTTTTACCACTGTTAGAGCACTGTTACATTTGATCTGTCCTTTGGTTCTCTGAGGGCATAGAGAGCCTTTTATTGTGCTTTTCATTTCCCAGCATATTATCTTGTCTGTAACAAGGATTGTGTGTATACATGAAAGTAGAATTGGGTTATGTCCTTTTAAGCTGTAAATACAAATTTTAAAAAATGTTGCCAGGAGAATGAGATAGGTGAAGAAATGTAATATACTGTATTTATTTTCAATCCTAGTTATTTATCATTTAAAGATGAAATTTCCTGCCTTGCTTTCATTTAATTATCTAGTTTTTTACTCTTGACAACTATTTTTGCCAAAGCAATAGTTTTCCTATGTTAGGAAGAGGAAATAGAAGACAAATTCACCTCCAAATGTAAATTTCTAAAGCCAGTCTAGTCTGTTAACTATTCAAGTCAGAATTAGCTGTCAATCTGAATAGGAGTATGTGTTTCATTTATGTAGCACAGTACATGTAAATATGTGTGTGTGGGTAAGGAGAGATAGAATGAATGAGAAGGAGGATACATTGTTCATATGAATAAAACCTAGAACCAGGGCCCTTGCAAAGAATTCTGCCAAGAGTAACTTTAGCAAAAATTAGTATTTAAGATTTTATACTTGAGAGCAAATGTGTGTGAGGAATGTGGTTAAAGAGAATGCAAGAGTCTTTTACATATCATAGGGTTAATGAGAAGGAAGTTTTGGAAAAAAGATATAGGAAGGGCCTTGAACCATTTTGGATTTCAATAATCAGCCCCAATATAATTCTTTAACTTAATTTTAATTTTACTTACTTAAAAAATAGATTCATAAAGTGACTGTAACAGATAATTCAGATATAATTAAGACTTGTATTCATAAAACATTTTGAGATTATAGTGTTACCCAAAGTCAGGATAATTTACAACCAGTCTTTTTTGTTAACTTTTATCTAAGTTGACAATATCAAAGATATAAAATGGTTCTTTCTTTTTCTTTAGTTGCCTAGATTCAAGATGAATAGCGATCAGGTTGTGCTGGTTGGTCAAGTGTTTGAATCGTATGTGTCGGAATACCATAAGAATGATATTCTTCTAATCTTGAAGGAAGGAGATGAAGATGCTCATTACCCAGTTGTGGTTAATGCAATGACTCTTTTTGAGACCAACATGGAAATTGGGGAATATTTCAACGCATTCCCCAATGAAGTACTAACTGTTTTTGATAGTGCTCTGCAAAGATCAGCCTTGACAATTCTCCAGTCCCTTTCCCAGCCAGAGGGTGTCTCTATGAAGCAGAATCTTCATGCCAGGATATCAGGTGAATCACTTAAGGATTTTACTGCCTTGTTATTCTTTAGGAATATTTTGAGAAATTCTAACACACTAAATTCAGAGCATTAAGAAGTAATTGATATTTATATTTAAAAATATATCCATTGTGTAGTTGATGGTCGCTTTCAGAGCAGAATAATGTTATTTTACCGTTTTCTACTAACCATGTCAACTGTGTGGAGATAACAGTGTATTTGTATATACATATCTATGTATTTACATGAATGCATAAAATTGTAATGCAGAGCAGCTTTCTGAGTTTTGTCGGCTAACAATAAAAATTCATAAAGGATTAGGTGGTAGATGCTACTCAGTGATCTTCAAAACTTTTTTAGGAAAATCATTATTTTTATATAACAATTTAGCTGGCCACCTATTAGGCACTCAGTTACCTTTTGTTGAATGAATGACAGATTATGCATCTTAATTTTTAATAAACTGCCATCAACTTGTGGTGGCAGAGCTGTGCCTAAATGCTTGCTTGCAGTCTGGTGAAGTTGGAGAACACACATAACATTTTGTTCAAAAAATTTATATTACAGTTCAGAAAGGTGGGGATTTATAACAGAAACACTTGCTATGATTCCAAAAAGATTAGGAGTCATTATAGCAGAATTCCTTGGAGACAAATTAAGATTCCAAAAAAGACTATATACTTGACTTAAGTCAAAAATAGTATCTACAATTACACTTGCTGAAATAAAACTATGAAGATTATAAATCTTTATGCATCAGGATACTAGATAATCTCTTGCAGGAACAAGAAGATATATTCTCATAAATAAGGTGGTAAAAGGATTGTTAATGGGGGCTTTAGCTAATGTTGAAATGGTGTTTAGGAAATGGGTTTACGTTGTCCTTAGGTTTACTTTTCTGTACTCAGTTTAAACATTAAAATTTTGTTTCCCTGAGTGATTCTATTGGTTTCAGATCAGTTTACCTGTTTTTTTTTTTTCAATTCTCTGAAAAAGTAAATTGCAAATTATGTTTCTACCATGGTAGCATTCATTCTACAAATGTATTGTGTATAGGTATTTACTAGGTTCTTGGGAAACCAAAAAGAATATGGTATATTCCCTCATCTAAAGGAACTCAAGGCTGTTGGTGGAGACAGCTTTATAGTCAGATATTTACCAAATGGTGTATGTATGCCCCAAAATACATGGATATGTGTGTATTAAACATAATTGTAAAGGAATTTAATGACAGTTTTTGTGTTATGTGATGCATGCCTCACTGAACGTATGTGCAAGACACGTTAGCTCACAGAACAAGGAGTGGATTCTCCTAGAGGGTTCACTGGAGAGTTCAAGAAGAGAAGGTAAGGACAGGGGTTGGAGGTGTCACAAGCAGAATGAACCAAGGAAAGAAATAATCTGGTTTTAGGCAATTGCACCTCCGTCTTGAAACCAGGCAACACATTTAATTATTAAAACCCCAGCTGAATCTGTCATTCAGCCTTCAGTTTACTTTTCTAAGATATGCATTGCTGTTTGTCTTCTGGGATTTTTGTTAGCCTGAAGTTCACTTGCTATTCCTAGTGGTTTTGATGAAAGATATTCAAATGCACAGTAAGCATCAAAGTAAATGGGAGAGAAAAAAATAGCATGCATGTGTTATTTAAAGTAGTTCTCAAACATTAATGGCAATCAGAATCACCTGAAGAGCTTGGAAGGCACTGCTTGCTGGGCGCCATCTGCCGCGTTTCTCATGAGGAGATCCATCGTGGGGCCCAAGAGTTTGTGTTTCTAACAGCTCCCAGGTGGCTCTTATGCTGTCGTTCCAGGGAAAACACGCAGAAAAAAATGGGCCCCAAGAAACTGATACGGACATATCGCTATTTTAAAAATAACTTTTGTTTTTGTTCTTTTATCAGTGAATAAGTCAGAGAATGATAAAGGTTTTTGTGTTCAGTGCTAATGGTGGTTTAGTACCTGATGTATATCCACCTGTACCCCCTGCCACTTCACTGGGGTAGTTGAAGAGCATACTGAGTAAATACATATATAGTAAGAGGAATATTAAGATAAACTGACATTTCTGTCAAAGCACTGCCTCTTAGCCTTTTTTAGTACTAAGATTATGATTGTGTATGGTCAGTTTTGATTAACATTATGTTGCTGTGGATAAAATGAGAGTTCCTGTGGCCAGGATTCTCACCTGGCCCTGGTTGACCAGCTCACTGCACACCTGTGGACAATACATGGCTGTTGACTCTATAAAAAGAGCTCCGCTCAATGCTCTGAGTGCTACACGGTGGCAGGACTGCAAAGCTGCAGGAGAGCAGAGCAGAGGCTGGAGTGGTGGCAGCACCGAAGACAGAGGCCCAGAGGACGGCTGTGCAGGACAATTGTGCAGAGAGGCCCAGAGGATGACTGTGCGGGACGGCTGTGCAGAGAAGCCCAGAGGACGGCTGTGTGGATAGAGAGGCCCAGAAGCAGAGACTGGCTTGCTGCATACAGACTCACTCTGAGTGAATGGGATTCTAATGACTGACCTGCCACCTGGCAATAAAGTTGGGTATAACCCTTTCACCCTAAAGAATGTTTTGCTGTTAATTTCTTTGGTCACACTGAATCCATAGTGAACTTGCCCGGGGCTGAAACCCATTGTCAAGACAATTGGCATAGTCAGCAGGGTTCATTGTTGACCAAGGAAAAAGACAGGCTGCCCTTATGGGAGAGGCGCTTCAGCCATTTTTCTTTAGAGATACTGTAAGAGGCCCTTATGGGAGAGGGGCCTGCCATTCACTGGAGCCCCCTGTGAATGGGGAGACAGTGGATTGTCCCCCAATGAATATGGGGTCTGAGGTGGCTTGCCTCCTAGAGGACTGGGCCCCACCCCAGGACTGGATGCAAGTGGAGGTGACACCTGAGGCAGTAGGGGTGGCCCTTGACATAGTAAGCAGATCCTTTGAGAAGCAGAGTGCTCGGGGGAGGCAGCGGGGACTGTGGGTTGGCTGCTTCTCACAGTCTTAAAAAGGTCTACAAAGGAGACCCAAGAAATGGTGGCATGAGAACGTGAGCTGCGAACTTCAGTAGATTCCCTGAGGAGGGAAGTGGCATTGTTGCAAGAGGCGGCATGAGAATATGAGCTGCAGAATTCTGTGGATGCCCTGAGGAGGGAAATGGTATTGATGCGGGAGTAGGCAGCATGAGAACGTGAGCTGCAAACCTCTGTGGCTTCCCTGAGGAAGGAGATGGCCTTGATGCCAGAGGAGGCAGCACGAGAGTGCCGGCAGCAAGGAGCCATTGGAGACGAGATGGCAGCACTGCCAGGTGTTCTGAAGGAGGAAGAGGCCATCAAGGAAAAAGACGAACTCCTGAGGGAAGCACAGGCGGAGGTGGCATGAGAACACCAGCTGCGAAGCATTGAGGTGAAGGTAAGAGTCCTTCTGAAGACTGAGCTAGCATTGCTGTGAGGCACCGTAGAAAGGGCAAATGTTGTAGCAGAGGAGGCACTTGGGGGAGGGGAGAGAAAGGTGCCATCAGCCCCGAAATGGAGGAGCTGGGGAAGGATGAAGGGGTGGTGCTGGAAGCACTGGAGCCTCCTGTATTGAAAGCACACCCAGTGGTTGTAAAGAAAATAAAGACCCAGCAGCTGAAAGTTCCCCAAGGAGAGGAGCAGCCCCCTCCCCAGGTCGTGGAGCACTCTATAGTCTGTCCCTATAGTCAGGCTGAGCTGGTGGATTTGGGCTCCTGGTTTAGGCAGAAGCCCTCGGAGTCAGTATCAGCTTGGCTCCTGTGTCTGTGGGACTTAGGGGTGGATGGAATTGTTCTGTTGGGATCAGAGATGGGAAAGCTGTCTTCCCTGACAGTGCAGCCCACCTTGAGGCAGCAATTACAAAATGTGAGGTGACACGTACAGTAGTTGAAGCAATGAGAACCCGAAAAGAAATGACCTGTTACAGAGGGAATTTGAGGGGCCTTATGAGGGTTACGAGGACCCAGATGTGGGTTGATTTGATACGGGCAGGAGCAGATAGAAGGAAATTAGACAGGAAGCCAAATAGGACCTTACTGGAGCTATGGCAACAACTGAAACCAGAGCAGTGGTTCCAGCCCTTAAGACCAAAGAGGCAGAGGTCAGAGACAGAGCCACGAGTCCTGCCTGTGTGTCTGCAAGACTTTTTGCTGGAGACACTGGAGAACAATATTCAAGCTTCCTTGCACAAGGACCATTGCAGAGGACTGAGGGCACATAGATTGAGAGGAGAGAATCCTGGAGGGGTGGACTGTGGATAAAATGAGAGTTCCTGTGGCCAGGATTCTCACTTGGCCCTGGTTGACTAGCTCACTGCACACCTGTGGGCAATACATGGCTGTTAACTCTAAAAAAAGAGCTCTGCCCAGTGCTCTGGGTGCTACACAGTGGCAGGACTGCAAGGCTGCAGGAGAGCAGAGCAGAGGCTGGAGTGGTGGCAGCACCGAGGACAGAGGCCCAGAGGGCAGCTGTGTGGGACAACTGCAGAGAGGCCCAGAGGACAGCTATGCGGACAGTGGGGCCCAGAAGCAGAGACTGGCTTGCTGCATACAGACTCGCTCTGAGTGAATGGGATTTTAATGATTGACCTGCCACCTGGAAATAAAATTGGATATAACCCTTTCACCCCAAAGAACATTTTGCTGTTAATTTCTTTGGTCACACTGAACCCATAGCAAACTTGCCCAGGGCTGAAAACCCATTGGCAAGACAGTTAGTTGCTTTTATCTTTGTCTTTATAGTATGTTTATTTTAAAATCACAATATTCTGAAAATCCAGAAATGTACTCACTTCTGTTATCCTCTTAAGATATTGTTTCTGTACTATGCAAAATAAACCACTTAATTTGTCATGTTTTAGACTAATTTTCTCTATTCTAAAGAATTTATCCTAACAGGTTCCATCTACATGATTCAGCAAGATGTATATGACTCTTTTGTTTCTAACTTAAGAACAGTAAGAATGATATATTGCCCGTATTGTAAAGGTACAGAAAATAAAAG